TAAATTTGAGAATTTTCTCAGACCGCTTCTATATTGAAAAATTGCCATATAGCACCTTTTTTTTAAACAATGATTATTTTACCGTTGGCCTATGTTAGATTTGTTATCGTCTTCGTTCTATATCTTCGTCTTGCATCGCATTTGTCGATCATCCTTATGTGCACAGAGGCAATGATGGATACAGGAGTGATCGAGTTTAGGGTTATGAGCGACAATAACAAACTCTCATACGAGGATCTTTGGAGTCAATTACATGGATTTTTTTTATGATTATTGAAATATATAAAATTATATATATTTAATGAAGTATAAAACACTTAATTTTTGATGTATGACCTATATTAAAGTATTTTTAAGTTTTCCTTTATCTCTCATCGTACTATTAATATTAATTATTTTACCTCTTTTAACTAGTGAGGTCTTCTTAATACATACTTATATCATTTTAAGTGAGATTTTCTCATCTTATCCTCTATCAAAGTGATACATAATCATTCATGAATAAAAATATTTTTTTTATAATCTTTCTAGTAACTTTATATATATCTATATTAATATTCTAATCCAAACTTTTTGTATATATTTTTTCTTAAATGTCAGACACTCAAATCAATAAAATATTATTGGTCTTACAATTATCTTATAAAATTTATTTTAATCTTAAATATATCCAATGATCCCACAAGACTCCTGATGTCTCTATCGTTTTAACCATCATGTTTTTACTTTATGAATAATATCTTTATCGATCTCTCAATGTTGTTGAATAATTGATCTGAGACACCTAAAGCTTCTACTTAAAGGAATTTCTTATCCATCTAATTTAACTATATTCTAGAATCATTAAAATTATATTTTATATATTTAGACTTAGTCATACTTAATCTAAGATCTTTAATTTCTAAGGCTCACCTCCATAACTCAAGCTTATAATTAATCAACAAATATATACACACTATATTATATATATACACCATATTGAATGAGTTTTTGAAATCTTCAATTTCTAATAAGTGAAAATGATGTACCATCGTAAGTGTAAGCATAAAATCTATAATGAAAAATAACTTAATGTTAAGATTGAAATCAAATGATATAGATCAAAGATTAAATTTTATGTACTTTTGATACCTATGACAAAAGACCCTTCGTTGTCTAGGAACGCACCATAGTCTAATTCGCTAATTCATAAGAAGCAATAGTAGCATCAATCTGTATGAAGGAAATTAGATTTTCATTCTCTTCTTTTCCTATCTTTAATAGAATCATGATTAATGATAGAGTCAGGACTAACTGAAAGATAAAGAATAAATTTTTATATTTTATGTATCTAGATTCTTAGAGGTTTTGTCTATACGCGAGATGAGGTCTTAGAAGGAATAATGAGAATAGTCACTCTTATCAAGATCATCTACATTTCTTTTTTATTGATTGATAATCTTAATCAAAGTTAAATTAGAATTTTAATATATTTCAATTAAAATTAGTTAGGATCACATAATCTAACAACTAGATGATGACTAATTTTTTTACAAACCATTTGAATGACACAAAGAGGGCTTAAGCCTTCTTTGTATAAAGATCGACTAAATAATCATAACTTATAATTAAACATATGAATTGATATCGGTTCACAATTGGATCAGTAAATACTACTAAATACACATCATACCAATCGATATTTAGAAACATGATGATGAAACCCACTCAGCACAGACTTGCTATCCTGATGTGGCAGACTCATCTGATTTTGATATTTAGATTTTTGCATCAAGTAAATGGCATACTTGCCTTACATGTACTTCAACCAAACCAAGTCCTGTTTCTGAGAGCATGAGAGTTGCCTGTGCAGGTGTAATATGGCTAATTTTGCAATGTAGATGTTATGATGCCACAATCAACTGAGTTCATGCAGGACAACACTTAAAACAGATAGGCATCTTGACTCGTTGGCTTTCTAAACCTTTACAAGTAACAAGATCAAAGTTTGATTGGACAAGATCAATGCATCAAGTTGGTCATGGATGTGATCATCCCGAGCAGCAGAACAGCCTTCTCTCCCTGACTTGTGTTTCATTGGACAAGTTCATCCCGGATGACTGCGGTGGCCTGGCTTTAGCAAGTCTCTTGGCTGTGAGGGATGAAAGTTGGCATGTTATTAGGAATGCATTGAGATGGTGAGAGAGAAGTTTACCTATTTCATAGAAGAGCTCGTTGATGTTCTCTGCTGTTTTTGCAGAAGTTTCAATGAAGAACAACCCATTCTCTTGGGCATATTGCAAGCCTTCCTGAGAAGAAGCCAAAGTTTCAGCACCACATATCTATCAAGCATTTCATATACTCTAGCCTCACAAGTAGCACAGCAACACAGGTACGGTATGGACTTACGATGCTAAATCATAAAAATGCAAATCTCATGGGGCTTAGGATGCACACACTGTTTGTAATTGTCCATTCATCTGCTACATTCCATGATAAATTACCCATTCATGTGCACAGAACTGTCTTCTTTGCCATTGCTTGATTAGGCATATATTTGATTGATTTATTTGAAATATCTATACCTTTCGTTGATTATGACTGGCTGTTGAAACATTCCGTGTGTGTGTGGCATGATATGTGGATTCTCTAAAAGGTATTCTTAAACTAAATTAGTCTTCATCAAAGTCTGTCCATCCACTGGTTTGGAGCCATCTTGGTTTGATAAAGATTTTTTGATATTTTAGACTAGATTGTGATTTATATTTAGTGCATGTGTGAGTTACAACTTATTCCAGTGAATTTGGCTGGTGGTTTGCTTGTTTTAGTGTTTCAATGTATGTTTACTTCATAGGACCTTAAATCCAATGAACAGCCTCGGCAGGGTAAGCTGAAACCTGCTATTATCAAGTATTAGTCTTCCATAGTGGCACATTTGGTCTTATTTGTGCAGTTTCGATGGTGCAGGCTAAAACTAAGACAAGCCTAGGTGTCAATTGAGATAAGTTTACTGGAGGTTTTCTCATAGATATAAACAGCCTAAGAATGAATTGGTACAATAAAAAATGATGATACAAGATATTGTGGAAAATACACAAACATATAATTCATTTGGAATGTCAATCCCTTTTTTGCCAGTCACTCATCGAAGAAGATGATTTGTTCAATTGAAAAGGCAGGTGATTGTTAAGCAATTTTAATCTTCATTCTTTTTGGTAATTTGAAGTTCATGCTTCATGATCATCACAGGTAACAAAAGAAGAAACTAAAGTGTGTAAATCACAAAAACAAGTCCTTATTTACCTCAGATTCCACCTTCCTTTTTGCCTCCAAGTCAATCTTGTTCCCGACCAATGCCAATATCAGATATGGGTTTCCTAGAACAGAGTAGATTTGTTTGAGTTATATGTGATGCTGACTCAGCAGAACACAAACAATTAAACAAGGTGAGATCACAAAATTCATATAGAATGAAATAGTTTGACTGTTGGAGCAGCATATAAGAAACATTCAAGATACATGTTGAGTAAAAACCCACAAAGTATATAATATTTTGTTCAAGTTGACTAGTTAACACAAATTTTGCTTAGGTTACATTTCTAACAACATTATCAAAGGTGTAACTGCAAGTTCATATGTAGAATGTGAATGAAAACACAAGGTGTCAGTTCAACCGATTGATGGTTTATAACCATGATAGATAATTAAAGCTAAAAAACCAACTTTGAAGTGTGGAGCAAAGAATTGGCATGCTTGCATATAACCAAAATTTATGGTAAAATGCACATCGAAGGTAAATACTAAGTCACCTTGTCTTTGGAGTTCTCGAACCCACTTTTTTGCTCTAACATATGAATCCTGAGGCAGGAGAAACATGTTCTTGAATTCAGCATAATCATCAATATCAACAGTGTAAAGCAAATGAATCAAGGAACAGAGTGATTCTTGAAAGAATATGATCCGTTCTGATGATACATAAGTTTCTATAAAATGACCAAATATGAAATCTCACATAACTAATGCAATCATATGTGCCATTTAAAAGCATATAAGGTGAAGACTTATAACTAAAATACAAGTTATTAATCTAAGTATTGGATCTCGGATTGTAACAAGCATGAACAGACACATTTTTGTTCAATGCAAAAGAGTTCTAGAGCTAATCACAAATACATCTCAAGATTGTGTACATCAGCCATTCCCCAAATATCTAAGAATTAGAGAAACTGCAAGAACATAAAATTTTCTTTTTTGCAGTTAAATCACAGTTCAGCACAAACTTCCACTAAAGCAGTAATATAACAGTTAGCATGATGTGCATATGCTAGCTTAAGCTAATTTGATAAGAAGTGAACCATGTCTGTAGCAGTCATGTGACATTTCAACTTTGACATTTTACAGTCCAACAGGACGATGATGGTGGTGGTATTGGTAGTGAACACAGATACCTCTTTTGATGCTGCAAACATGCATGACTACATGGTTTTGTATGAAGAAAACTTCCATATTTGGGTGAATATAGAGAGTACATGTACCTCTCAATAGATAAGGGAATAGACATGGAGGTTACTGTATGTCTGGACCATTCTAACTGTCCAACATATTTAGGTAGTCGAACAATGTGGAGGAAATATCCGGTGCTGATTGTTCAGTATAGACCTAAAGTTCATGCCAGTTATGGGGATATATAGATAGATTGTTGTAGCAGTAGTACAGGAAGGAATTATCTCATTTATCTCATCGATATAGCAAAAATGTTTACCATGTTTGAGATATCATAGACAATGATAGCTGCAGCTGCACCATGGTAGTACATGGGGACCAAACTACGATATCGTTCTTGCCCAGCAGTGTCCCATATATCAAATTTTACAATACCCTCATTAAGTGATAGAACTTGAGAGAAGAATGCAGCTCCTATTGTTGATTCCTGAAAAATGAGCATCCTTGATTACTCTGAGTACTATTGCTAATAATTATTCAGATCAAATCAACAAAGATAGTAAAAATTTGTAAACCTGAGAGTCAAAATATTGGCCTTTGACAAACCTCAGCACTATGCTTGTCTTTCCAGTTCCCATATCTCCAAGAAGCACCTGTGAAAACTTTCGTATTATTATTATTACTATTATCATTGACATCATCGATCGATCCACTGTTTTTCTAAAATTTGGGAAAGAAACTTTAGGAAGTAGTCCTACATATATGAATGAATATAGCCAAAAGTATATTAATGTTTTCTCAGTATCACAACTCCATGAAAATAAGACAAATTATATTTATTAGGATCCAAGATCAGAAGGAAACAATGAAGTTGCTAGTAGAACTTTACTGGACACTATTCTAGCAACAATTAACTTGATGTCATGAAGAACATGCTTTACAAAAGTTCCCCTGGGAGAACTGATGAGTGCATGCATTTCCTACTTTCTTTTGGCCTTATTCTGAAGTATGGATCCTGAACATTCAATTTCCTTGCAGAATGATTAGTAAATGACTGTTTCCATATTTTCCTAACTTATGACATCTTTGCCGCAATAAACTTTGCATCCCCATCTTTGCCACTAAAACCAATTACCAGTGAAGTCTTCCTTCAAACAGTTCTTTCACACAATTACACAGCATTTTCTCTACATAAAGAAGTAATAGGAATTAATTCGTACTGAATACTTACCCACATGAATCTATATATTGCACAACATTTTGTTTTATGTGTAGCAATTCACCGTCCGGAACATAAACCTTAATGACCTCATCCCTGACTATTTTCACTGTTATTTCTCTTCTGTTTCAATTAATGATCTTTTCCCTTTACATATCTCATAAGGATGAATGATCATTCTCATCACAACAACTACAAAAAAGCCCCACCATCATATCTCAGATGCCACCAGAACATCGGATCTCAACATAGTTGATGATCACACCTTTCTTATGATCTCCCAAACTAATATACACAAAATCTAACATACTCAGACATCGATTTATCAGTGTCATATCTGCTTAAACCATTATTTTCTCCATGGCGTGCTATCTTGAACCCTTATCGTGGACCATGAAGACGTCGATAGAGCAGGCAGAATAAGGACAATAAGATTAAGCGAAAAGGCAGGATTTTTAGACCCAGAGCGAGAGAAAAGGGAAGACATACCCACCAGCTTGGCTTGTATGTTGTTGCTCCCCATCCGAGCCATGAGATCAACACCAGCAAAAGGGAGAAGGATGTGTTGAGGAAGCTTTATGAGGTAGGTCATCGTCGGAGGGAAGATGAAGAAGGATTCGAGGCAGGATCAAGGAATGGTAGGTGTGCAGCGTTGTGCGCTTTGGAATGTTCGGTCGTTGTTTCCTTCGCTCGAGTTGCTGTGAATCCCATCTTCAATTCCTGGCCGGTTGATTCTTGATATGAGGCTGAGATTTATGGTAACATGAGTAGAATATCGGAGAGGTGTTTCACGTCTTAAAATTATCTATATTTAGCATTTCGATCCATCTACTTAAAAAAAAAATTATATTGATATACTTACGAAAGTAAAATATCTAGATTTATTTATTATAACGCGTTAGTTTTATCAATTAAAATATAAAAATAAAAAAAAAATATTAATTTTAACGTTCGATGATGGACGATGTCGACACTAACACAACTATCTGGTCACATTTGAAGACAATAAGGTCCGCTCTCACCATGATACCACTTACCTCCACAAGGAGTGCATCGTCGACCTCATCACCGCCCATTTCGCGCTGCTCTGTATCAGTGTTGATGCAAATGGTGGTGGCCGACATGGCTTGAAGCTGGGGTCATCGGAGCTCCTACCACTCTCCCCATTATTGCATAAGTTTTGGCACCATCTCTCACCAAACGACCCTTTCGGTCAGCATCTGCATCAATATTGATGTAGACGTCGGAGCTTCTACTGCACTACCCGCTATTGCATTAATTCTAGCATCAACGCAGAGTGACGAAAGGGTTGCTTGACGAGATGTGATGTCGGAGTTGACGCAATAGTTGAGGGAGCGATAAGAGCTCTGATGACCCCAACTTCGAGTCAATGCTAGTATCCACCCAATGGGTCAATGACGATATGGCCACCATCTTTGTCGTAAACATCACAACGGCCACCACCATCTGTGCCAACACTAACGTAGTTGCTACTTAAGAATTATGTCAGCATTTATGCAGATGTAGAGCGAGCAACGTGAGACGGGAGAAAATGAGGTCGACGATACATTCCTCATAAAGACGAGTGGTGTCGTGGTGAGAGTGGACCATATTATTGTTGGAGGTAACTAAGCAACTGCGTCAACATTGATACCAATGGCACCACTGTGCGCCATCACCGATATTGTTTCTCATCGAATGTTAAAATTATATTTTTATCTTTTATTTTCGTGATTCCATCGATAAAACTAACGTCATTAAAGTAAATAGATCTATATATTTAACTTTCGGAACTATAAGGATACTAATGTAATTTTAAAAAACGTAAGGAACAAGATACTAAAAATAGTTAACTACATGATAATATAATATGTAATTAGCCCGTATTTTTAATTAATATATTTTTTTTCTTTTCTCGGAAGAAAATAACATTAGCAGATTATGGTAGCATTGAGTGAACTTAATCTCGTTAAATGTAATCAACATGGGATGATATCAATGCAAAACCCTTACTTTTTTAATTATTATTATTGGATAGTACTCCTTATTTTTATAATATCCTTAGAGAGTTCATTCAAAACGACATATTTCTTTTATATTGCCATTTTCCCGTGATGAATGAATGGATATAAATGTTATAAGGTTTTTGGAGATATATAAATATAACTTCAAAACTAAGTAGGAAAATAGTTAATAAAAAAATTGAAAAAGACTTTGTTAGTTTTCATAAAACCTACTCAAACACTAATACAAATTAATTTATAAAATCTAAAATTATGAAAATTAATAATTACGATTTATGAGGATTTAAATTAATTAAGATATGATTATAGTGTTCTTGAGAAGACTTATAATGTGTTGGTTTATTAATTTAAAGCTTTATATTATTATTCTTCCAAAATATATGTATATATATATATATATAGTGAC